CCAAAAATTCTGTTTATGGTTATCAGTCAACAGACTACACAAGTCCAAGCAGCTTGGGCTCTTGGTCCGGCGCCAGCATCCCATTGGCTGGACAGCAGTGAGGCGGAACAGAGATGAGTGACAGCGAACGAGGAAGTGGTGGGAGGGAGAGCGGGGGGCCAAGCCTATTGCTGAATAGCCTGATGGACCACTGACAAGTTAACAACCTCTGTCTTTATTCATCATACCAATCCAGATCCACTCAAAGGCAGCTGCAGAGAGCTAAATGTTTGCGTGATCACAGTTAACATTTTGCTTCATGGTAAAATAAAGAATCCTTTCAAAAAACCAAATCTACTGCAGAAAGTAATTATGCACTAAATGTATTTTGGCACCGGCTTTAACTGCTGATTTAAGGGTAAAGAGTTCAGAATAAAAGTAAATGTTATTCTTATTTAATGCCGTGAACGTCAACTCTGGCTCGTAGTCATGACCACTTGCAAAACAACAGTGGCTAGTTGGTGCTCCTTATCACATTTCAGATTTCTCCCTGGTTATTTGCAGCTCCAACACCGAGGCTTCTCATATGGTCTCCAGCCCCCAAAACACACACTCTTGTGTTAAGGCCGTGACCTTGGTGGGGGTGGGGGTGGACTAATCTACCAAATGGTTTAAGTTGTGGTTAAAACATTTCAGCTCCATCTCAACCTGCGGTACACTTTTCTTTTTTTAACAGCAGTCACTTGTGCATAACGAGTGCTTGGAGTTTTCATTTTTACAGAACATTTTGCTGTAATTGTTTGGTACTATACAATTTGAATGCTATAATTGGTTTGCTCAATGTAAGATCACTTTAATTTGAATACACAGTCTTAATATTTCTTCCAGCACCAACCATGCAAGTGTTGGAAAAATCACCGATTTTCCCCGTCCATGTCAAAGTGGACAGTAAATGAGCGGCAAGCAGGAATGCCGACCACTGGAGGCCTTTTGGTCTTTCTCTCAGCTGCAGGAGGGGCCCTGATGTGCCACTACCTGCCCATGCACATCTGTCTGCTCTCCGTCTTCCTCTCAATGGCACCCTCGTCTTAGATCATCTCCTTTTACTCCACGCTTGAGTTGCACTTGGCTTGCATGGAAAAAATGTGGACCGTCTCTCGCCTCTCTTCTCCCTGGCACTTTGATGTCTCAAGTGTGATTGCTTTTGGATTGTGGCCGCTTTCCCTTGAAGGTTTTGACATGAAAAGCAGGCTGGGCTCTCAGGTTTATCCCATGGCCAGTGATCCAGGACTAAAACAATCAACCAGTTCGCTGTGGGATACTGTTACCAGCGAGAGTGAGGCACCAACCATGGGGGCTTCCTCAGTCATCATACTTTTTCTCCCCTCTAAACTAAAATGTTTTAGGTGTGTTGATTGAATTATACAAATCCAAGCTCCCATTAATAGATTTTAGACTTAAGTTTGTGCTGACAGTTGACACTAAAATATATAGAAGCTAGAGAATACATTACAATACATTCCCAATGTGTTTGCAGAGGTGGACAACTGAAATGATCCAACATTTTTAATGAATTAAAAAGAAATGAGGCTAGTAATTGCAGTTAAAATTGACCCAATCAGATAAGTATGATAATGTGACACGTCATTAACAGCAGAGGCATAAGTGACAACCCTTAAGCTTCACTTATACTTTCATTAAATATTGAATCTGTGCTCATTGCTGTTCCAGCCTGCAAATTACACCAGATAGATAAATTCCCATGACAGTGGAGCTGACGATAATCATCCATCTTCGCATGACATTTGGCAGAACTCTTGTTTTATGAGCTAAAGTGCCACTGGAGTGGATCAGAAAAAATAATAATGCACAGTGTTCACGATCTCTATTAGAGCAGATGGTATCTTGTGACAACGAGGGCAGAGCGTGACAGTTAATCCACTTCAGCCATGTCTGTCAAGGAAAAAAGTGGGTAAATAGCCTGAGTGATTTAATTTAAATTTCAGCTTAGTGAAAGTGTTTTTTTTGTGCAACAAATTTAAAGATATAAAAAGTTTCATCAGTAAAAAAGTCTTGTTAATAGCTTTAAATAGAGTTATCATGTCTTCAGTAGGTTATTTTATACATAGGTTTGTTTGGAGGTATTGAGATTATTATTTTCCCCCACTAATATTTATATACTTGAAAACTGAACCTACAGATAATTATCAGCTCCTGTGTCACGCAGCTCTTGTAATGTTGTTTTTGGCTGCGGCCAGAAGCTGTTTTAGGTTACAAAGTTAAAGAAAAAACAAATTGCAGACAGACTCACTCTGCAACTTCCTGATGTGCTTGCTATAGACACTTTAAGTATTTTCTTGGAGGAGTTGTAGGCGACCAAAACTGACTAATTCAAGAGCATTAATTATAGACAAAGATTTATCAGGAATCTGGATATTCAATTCAGACTTCCCTTATGCTTATTTTTAACTGGATCTACTGAAAAGCAGCTGTTTGATAAAATGTTTGCCATCTCAACCCGAAAGTGATAAAGTCATGGTAAAAAGGAGATGCACCTTCTGCCAGTTCTAAGGGTTTACATATCAGGACATAATGAAAGGTTATCTAGTTCTTAACAGGTCTTAAAATTAGATAAGTACAACTCCAGGTGAACAACAAAACAAGTCTTATTACAATGTGTCATTATGTATTTGGCAAACATTAGGTCAAACTGCAGAAGACGTATCTGAAAACTGGTTCCATTGGAAGGTAAGTAGCAGCCAGGTGCTGATAATCAATTGCAAGAGATTAATTGACCATTAGCAAGTGTGAGCACTTCTATAAAAGCAGGATTTTGCAGATATGGAACATTTAGGTGTATGTTAACACAATGCTAAGGGGGTGGTATATTAACAATGATCTTAAAGAAGCACTTTAAGCAAATCAGCACAAACACCTCAATCCAGCTGTCAAGCACAGTGGTGGAGGGGTCATGAACACAACTCCTCTGTATACTAAAGTATTCTAGAGTGAAATTTGAGGCTGTCTGTCCAATAGATGACTTTTGTACCAAATTGGGTGGATTGAACTGCTTTGGTGGGAACTTAAAAGAGCTGTGAGTGCCCACGTATCTTTATGAACTCAAGCATCGCTGTAAATGAGAGTTGACAATGATGCAAGAGACCGATTCGGTCATACACGAAATAATTACTTAACGTTGTTGCTGCCAGAAGTGCTTTTGTAAACTGTTGACTCATGAGTTGTACTGTAGTTTTCACACACTGCTTCTGTATTTTGACTTTGTTAAATAGTGACATGGCATAATATGTCAAGCGTTGTTCGTCTGGGATTGTATTTACCTAATTTAAGACCTAGTAAGGTTTACATAATTTTATATTATGTCCTGATATGTGAAACTTTGAAGAGACAGCCGGTGGACTTTGTTTGTACCATGACTGTATATCCATGTTGTGTTCATAATTTATATACACTGCTGCCAGATGGCTATATAACAGTCACACTGGCTTTCAGGTGTAAACAAATTTCAAATCTGAATAATGATTTTTGTCTAATAGTACTTTTCTGCTTCTTTATTTCAGATAGAGTTGATGATTGGTTTTAAATTCAAGTGTGACTGAAGTGGAAGAAACAAAACACTTTACTTCACTTTGAGACCGAAAAACTGATTTTACTTTTTTTTTTTTTTTAACTTTCACAATGAATAATTTCAAGCTCAAACATGCCAATTTCAAGCTAAAGACACGTGAAGAGCATCCCACTGGTGACTTACTAAAATCTCAGATAATGTGTAGTCCGTCCCTTCACTTGAAGGTCTGCTAATAATACAATGATTGCCACTTTAGCTGTGGATCTCCAGTGTTGTCATTCAAGAAGCTGGAACTCCAATACAGGCTGGCATTAGCCATTACTATTGTTGTCTTAATGCCTCCTTCAATTATCCACTATCAGGCTTTTTGAGCAACTACTGTCAGAACCTCCCCCGCTGGTTTTTCACCAATCTTGTCCCTGATTATCTGGATCAATGGGCATTAAAGGACCCCGGCACAGACAAACAGAAGTAGTTTGAGGGTGGGAAAAGGGGTCTACTTTCAGACAATCCAGAAATCCCTGTAACTATCTGTGTGCCAGGGACAAACAGAATGGCTATTCAGTCGTCAGTCCCGCCACACACAGTGTTTATTTAGCCACAGCTCAAACCAGACACTTCTAATCTATTTTCCTTTTCCCTGCAAACGCAAGAAATTATTTCTCTCAATCGCCGTCTGTCCTTTCCCATCCCTACATGCATACGCTTCCACATGAGTAGAAAGTAGTGCTAAGACCTGTTAATTGTTGAGTTGGCTCACTTAAAACGATAGATCATTCATACTGATTAATAGTGCAGTTAGAAGTGCTGTTTTCTTGGGTTGGGGTGATTTGATTGCTAAAGAGATGCTAAAATGCTTTATTAGCTGACATTTCCTTGTTGTTAGGTTTTTGTTATGGAATCATAATGTAGGGAAAACGAGCAATTTTTATCTGCAATTCAAGACAAGACACTCCACCTAAATACTGGCTTTCAGGTGCAACTCAGGCTGTAAAGACATCCGAATTGCTCAACCCCTAATCCTGCCTCCTAATTTAGTGTTTGAACAGGTGCAGATGAAAGGGCCACACAGGTGATGGATTTGCAGTCCTCACAGCACGTATAGGAATGACCATCCTGTGACTCACCTTAGCTCTGACCAGCTGCCTCTTGCAGAGATCCCAGGCTGATCAAAGCCACCTCAGCCCGCCAGCTCTGTGGTGACAACACTGACAGCGGAGTGTTTTCACCACCGTTTGAGCTGACGAGCAGTTAGAAAGAGATGTTGTTAGGTGATGTGTAACTTTGGATTAATTGACACACCTGGGTTTAATTCTCACAGACAGTGCTGGAGATCATCTCATCAGAGAGCCATCACCACTAAGCTACAGCTGTCTTGCTTTAAAAAAAAAAGTGTTAATAATCTTCGTGCCTTGGCTGTTAATGTGTTGATGTGTTAGCTTTGATCTGAGATGGAAGAATCCCATCAGGGCTTGACTACTGACTACATACTTTACAGCTGTGGAAGTAAGATTATCATTACCAAACACATGATATGATAAAACTATTTTGCTGTAACTACAGAACATTTTTAGATTTTATGTCTCTCTAGTTCGCTTCTAACGTGGGTTTTTATAGGGGATAAGTGACAGAATACAAATACACAAAAATAGAAAATTGCCTTTTTAAAGATTTGCTATCAAGGACATATCCTTCTGATGCAATGTTTTTTAAAAGATATATTTGACAATTTGGTTCCTCTTTAAAACTTGTATTTTATCAGATGTGAGAAAAGTGGCATTTTTGATTCTGGTTTAGTGAACAAGTGACAGTGTTGTTATTATGAGGGAAACCTACCCTTGCATGTAGATACCCTTTGTTATGGACGCTTGGTTACTTCCTTAAGCAAGTAACCCTAACACAGTGAGTTAGCAGTTAGAGTACTTATGATTGCCATTTAAAGTGTGCTAGAATTTCAAACATCCACAGGAGACCATTCATTTAAAGAAGTGTTATAAAATTTATTCCAATTCATGCAGCTGTTGATGATGTGCTTTTAAAAGTTGTAAACCTTTAAGTTTATCATCTTAAATGTTAACTAACCTATATAGATAACATGCTAAAATGTACCTATGTACCATTTTTTTCAAACACTGGCTCTGTATGATATCAGCGAGAGTCGATATACCTACTATGGTCATTTTAGGCAGGGAAATCCCACCCACCTGTGGATGAAACCTGCAGTCTGCTAACAGAAAGCCAAATGGAAGATGGGCTATACAACAAAGCAGTATTGTGAACTATAAATGCAAGAAACATCAGTAGAGTGCAAGAATAAAGGTTTGAAAAATTACCTTAATAGGCTTCTTCTAGCATTTTTTTAAAACTCAGAAGAATACAAAGTACAGCAAACACAGGTGAGACAAGTTATTATTTTTGATCTTTAGTCATCTACAGGAAACTGAGATTATTACATTAGATTTTCAGGAGTTATAATGGGAGTCTGCCAAAATTGTAAATTAGTAAATTAGTTGTAAACAAACAAACAAAAAAAACACTGTCCGGGACCAAATTTTGCAAAAGAAGATGTCTAAGATATAGAGTATAGAATATGTATAGGATAAAGCAAAATGCACACAATAAAAATACTTTATGTTTTTATTGGGGTTTTTTTTAGACATTTTAACTAACTTTGTTTATCTATTTGAATATTTAAATAGTTTATTTTATCATGTAAAAGTAATTTGTGCTGCACTTCTGCTACTGTGTAAGATGAGTGGTATGATGTACAGCTATCCTTGCTGTTGTTAAAAAAACATAACAGCATTCATTTACTAAGAACAATAAACTCAAACCAGCATGGAGGCATCTGATCCACCGTGGTGAGCCCTGAAAGGGAACAGCCAAAAAAAAAGAAGAAGAAAATCAAAAACAATAACACTGAGACCTGCTATTCAGGTTCAGCTACCGTTGTATTTACTTCCATTCCACAAAACTGAACAACTGCTTTTATTATGTCTCCTGTACAGTAATTTGTTGCTATTATATCTGACAACCGTTGAACTAGTTGTCTGAAGCGTATGCGCCTAAGTGAACATAAACATCTCTGCTACTTACTGAGCTGCCATTCGTCTCACTCACTGAAATTTCAGGAGCCAAAGATGTTGCAACTTGTCCCTGAAAGGCAGAGAGAGCGAGAGAGAGTGAGAGGAGGTTTGGGGCATGTCTGAAAAAGACTGCAGGATGTATGTGGTTGGAGAAGAGATGACAAATACAGTAAATAGTGATGGGGTGATACTATTAATCCTGTGAGAAACAAATCATAGGTTTTTTGTTTTTTTTAGGCCATAAACCTACATCTGTTTAGATGTCATGTGACTGGGAAAAGAGGGGAAGATGATTGGAGGGGAAGGGAAGAAAGCTAAGGTGAGCCCACCTCCACCGCTCAAGTCTTACCTTTCCTCTTCAGGCAACACCTTGTACCTGGGCTGAGCACCTCAGCAGCAAACAGCAGCTCTGACAACCAAGTGGAT